GTAGAAGCACTGGCGTCAACTTTTGGTGATGGGCCGATTTCGGTTAGCGAGGTGAAACTTTTTGCCTAGTACTGTAGCAAAACTAAAATCTAATACGATACATCACAACACTAATCCCCCCTAACTCTCGCCACATCAACCCATTCACAGAAGAAGGCAAACCACTCAGCCCTACCCTGCCCTACCCCTTTACCCCCTAACACAACAAACTACCACACCAAGCCAATCCCATCCATCCATCCATCCCTCTCCCCCTACCTCTAACCTCCCCCGTCCCCGGGTCCATCCAAAACACACCTCTCCATCCACCGGCGCACCTGCCCCTCGTCTCTCTCCTCCACACTACCCCCGCACAAAATACGCAATCATCCACGCGCGCCGCAGCGCAACCTGCGGAATCGCAAGCTAAGGGTCGGTGGGCCGATGGGAGGGGAGAGGGGCGGCTACTGGCTACCTGTCTCGGGGTCGGGATACGAGGAGCCACATCACACCATGTATTTAGCAAAGTGTCTCAGCCCCCAAAAGGACGATAGTTTATTTCGATTCGAGAAAGTAAGTGGGGGGGGGGGGGATAGAAGAGGATGATGGAGGAAGGCGAGAAGAAGGAGGGTGATGCAAGATGGAGGGTTGAGGAAGAGAAGAGGAGGTGAGGGGGTGGAGAGGAAGAGATGCGGGGTGCATGTTTCACGATGTCGGGTTACATACTTGGTATTTCGTTCTGATGACGACGACGAGGAGCGGTGGCAAGAGGAAACGCACATGTACGTATGCAAGGGAAAAACAAGGAGAGAGAGAAAGACAAGCGGTGGGGGGTTTTGTCGCATGCATGCGAAAGACGAACGAACAGGTACGCAAGACCGAACCGTCATTCTGGAGAGAAAGAACGTTTACATTTGCTTCGTTAGTATGGGTAGTCTATCTAAATGCCATCTCTTAACCGTATACATGGGGCTTAAGGAACGTCGTTGGAAATAATAATAATAATAGTAACAGGGTATATACAGAATCCCAGTCCCACGCTTCATTACGATACTGAATAGAAAGTAAACATGATAAAAAAAACGGCGTTTGATATAAAAATCAAGCCTGGTTCATGAGCAATCTATGTGATGCAGATGATTTTTGGTTCTAGTCTAAACAAAAGAGACAGAGAGTGAAAAAAGGGGGAAGGGGGCGGGCGAAGTACGGGTGGGACTTGTTTTTTTTTTACTATTCTTCCGCACGAGGCCACCACGACTTATTGCCCACAAGCGCAGTCTCATCATCGCTATCATCGGGCTTCTTGCTATTCGCATCTGTACTCTTCATGCTCTCGTTGCCCTCGGCTATGCTCTCCATGCTCTTGCGGCGCGCGAGAACGCGCTCCTCGACCACGACGCCACTGCCGGATTTAGTGCGATGATGCAGTGCGCCACCGTTGCTAGTGATTTCGACTTCTGTTCCGTCCTTTTGGTAATAAGGATTGACCTCGCTGCGGATAATGACTTCGCGCGTCTTCTTGATCTGGTTGCCGATGGGCGCGAAGCTGACGATGCGGTCGCGGTCGCCGGTTTTGGCGTCGGCGTCGCAGCTGACGAAGCTGGAGAGCTCGTGCACCGAAGCGCGCTGCGTGCGGTGGTAGGCGCTGCCGGCGTGGTGGCCGGTGGAGAGTTCGGAGGAGGAGCGGAATTCTTGTGCCATGGAGTGCATGCCTGTCTTGCGCGAGGTGGAGATTGCAATGCGCTTGATGAGGTTGGCCATTGTCATCTCGATGTTGAGTTTGACCATATAGGCGAGCGGGTGGAATTGGATGTAGCTGTTGCAGTATTGTATTAATACGGTAGCTTCTCTGGATGAAGTGAAAAATAGACTTACACAAATGAGTTTGGGATTGACATGGCGCCGATAATCATGACGTCCATGAGTAGGGAGAAGATGACGATTTTCTGGTTGAAGCGCACTAGCGAGTTATATTTGGTGAGTCCGTTCTTGATGAGGTTTTCCTTGACAGTCTTCAAGAAGAACCAGTTGAGGATGGCGTCGACAAGCAGGTAGAGACCCTTTTCGATACGATCCCAGTATTCGTTGGCAATGTGATATCTTTCTTGGCGTTAGCTTGGGATCTTGAGATTCGAAACCAAGAATCATGGGACACAAGATGCATGAGTCGGATGGAAACTTACGTAGAGTTGATCTGTAACCGGGCGGGAATCCAGATATTAAACACACTGATGTTGATGGCTGTGACGAACGTAGCTGTTGTGATCATGATCCATCTTCCACGGTTGCGATCCGGTACAATGACACGAATACGGTTGATAATGATTTGCAGCAGTAATTGGACCTGAATACACCACCAGAACAGAATGGTGAAGTAAAAGGCGAAACCTGACCAGACGTCAGCGGAATCTTCAGACTTACAATCACACGATACATACTTGGACTGATGAACTTGAGCAGGTGCAGGTAGCATTCGAGTCCCATGACAAAACAGACGGTCATTTCCAGCCATATCATCCAAATGTATATACTCCTGAGGGGGGCCCGGGATTCCTTTGTTTGTCTAACGGCCAGAAAACAGGCGATGATGATGTTGACCAACGTGAGCGCCCATACTGTGGATGCGATGATAATGTCCGATCTTGTGATGGCCTCATTGTGGTAGTTTGGTGAGATGAAGGGACCCCAGGCCTTGAATGACGGATTATCCCGGAATTCACGGTTCATGGTGTGGGGTATCGGGGGTGGACAGTCGAGAAGACGACTTGAGGACCTGAGAGCTCGCTTGCCAGCAGGATACCAGATATAACCGATTGAAGCATGATAAGAGAAGCTGGCAGGGCAGATGGCAAAGGGTCTGCCAAGTCTCCTCTAGGACTAGGTTCCATCACAGCGGCAACTAGGAGAACACAGGAGATGAAGCGGCGACTTTGGAAACTATCGAGTCAGTATAAGGTTCCACGCTTTGGTATGCACGCTAAGAGATGGAGCAGCAGCTATCTCGATTGGCCTAGACTGTTACATCTGTGGATTCGATGGAGCCCAACGGTCGATCCTTTCGTTAATCGTGGCGGTCGTCTTGCGACAGCTCCGATGGTTTAAACGTTTTCGGTGAGGTGTCTCGCTCGACCTGCGCTCGGCACGGATCCCATCCGATTAGCGTCGCCCTGCAACAAATCAAGCCAGGATGGGGGAAGAGGAAGGGCATCTCGTTTGTGGGGGATTTACAAAGTTTGCGGATCAGTGAGAATCGCCGTTGCCAATGGTCCAGCATGCGTATTACTGGCCTCGGCAATGGCGTTTCTGTCTAGGATAGTATGAAGCTTTCGCAATCAAGACGAACCCTAAGCGTGCATTACCATAACCCACAGCGGAGAAAAGACTCGGGGCTGAGTACTCGGTTATGACACGCGTAGCGGCTCAATGAGCACAGTCCAAGACGATAGCGCGCCCCGATACCAGCATCATAGTAGACAAATTTGCAGTGGCTTGTGGAAGGGCTGCTGTTGTCTAGCTGCTAGCGGCTTGCCTGGTACTATGTGCGGCGAGATCTCCGCGACCAACAATTAGTCTAGCATCCATGCTCTGCGGAAACTTAAGTCTGGTTCGCACAAAACTTGGTTGTGGAAGCTGGATGGTAGGCTCCAGGAGATGAGCGTGCCTGGCAGCAAAAGCTGCCGTTTGGGCAAGTTGCTGGTGGGAGCTACGCGACATAATCGGCCAGAGGCTTTTTGTGGCCCGTACCGGCAAACGGTCGGCGCAGGCCTGAGTCTGGGTATAAGGTAGGATACATATGTAGTACCGTGTTCACATAGACGTGTGTATGTAAGTAAGTAGCTGTGTGGTGTGGGCACATGTGATCGACGAGATGCATGCGCCATCCGAGGATGTGGGTAAAGTGCTCTTGTCACTATCCATCAGCTCGGTTCTACGCGCGGCAGAGAAAGCAGTCAGGGGCTGTAGTATGGAGACGTGACCCACCATGGCAGGTTTCTCCAGGCTGGTGAATAGAGTAGAAGCAAATGTGCATACTGAGCAAGGCGACTAGCGCGGGCCCAGGGTTGCTGAGGTGCAAGGTCGCGCAAATGCCTCCACAGGGAACATGGGTGCGCGTGAAACACGCTTCAGTCCGGGCACGGAGGAGCCGGCTGGCAGCAGCATCGAGCTCGCCCTGCAAGATGAAGAGAAAAGTTAGTCGGCACCATTTCTGTAAGTAATGGTATTTTGCTTAGCCAATTCGCGTTACTCAGACCCGCCAATCTATAGAACAAGGAGAACTACCCTAAGCATAACCTCCGTCTATAATCCCCCCGACTGCTTTCTAGATCGCAGATACGAGAATGGCTGCGCTAACCGAACCAGTGACGCCTCTTGGTCGGCATAGAGTTCTCTTGTCACCTTGCTGTTTCGTGTCCGTAGGGCAGAATACGAATGCAGACATGCTTGCCGTTGGCGGGTATTGCATACTTAGGACACATGGACCAAGGCTGTTTGCAGCAAGTACGTGATTTGTGTGGAGCCGAGATGGAGAAGCCCTGTTGCGCATCGCCATCTACGGAAGAAAAAAAGCCTGCAGGCAAGACTGGAGACAGGCGTTGGGTGGGGACTGGTCACAGCTCCATGACCAGTGCCAGCCCTAGCCACAGCAGATCGTGGGCCGGGGAGAATTCAACCTCTACGCCGTGCTGTGTGCCTTTAGCACTGTGAGAGACTATCGCGTACGAGTGCATCACACGTGAAATTTCTAGTAAGGTCTGGGCGAGTCGGTCGTCTGCCACTATTCAAGTTGGTCGCCTGCTGTACCCGCCATCACGCTCTAACCTCATTGAATCGGCCCTTGTACTCTTTGAGCCTTCCCATGGCTCACTCGGGGCGCTCCGCCTGAACCTTGATTATCATCCGCGAGCCAACAGAGAAATGTGTGGCATCCCATTGACCAACATTATCGTAAGATAACTCCACATGGCCAACCACCCACTCTTCTCTGTCCGAGCTAGCAAAAGCTTCACCCCGCCGATCTGTATATAGTACTCGAGGGTCCTCACATCGATGGCGTTGGACCCCTCAGCTCTAAAATACTCTAAAGAAGAATTTTATGCAGGCGCAACATGGCGCGATGCATGGTCCTTCCCACGCTCGTCATCAATGTCCCTGGAAACCTAAACATTTGATATTCGGAGATTTACACCATGAAACCCGGCTCTTCGCTGCCGGCGCACTAGCCGTAACGCGGTACTCTTTGCTTGACCACGCAAGCCGCCAACAACGCTAATATCATAATGGCACGCCTGCTTCCATCCCTATACTTTGCCGAGCTTGAGCTGTGTCTATACTGACGAGACTTGCAAACTCTATCGAGTATCGTGGCAGCACCCATACTGGATAGGTCTAGCAAGCTGCTTCGACAATATTGGGCTGAAGTCATATAAACAGCCCAAGATATGCTGCGATACGGCAAAATAGACTCCTGTGTCGTCTTCTGGAACACAAAGAAGATTGAGGTCTCATTTGAACAGAAGGATACCGTCCCATGGCTGGGATAGTTGACTTGGAATCTGGCAACAATTTCAATCATTCGAAATGTTGTTGCACACATTCTTGTCGCCGTGTGCTGTCATGGTTTCATCTTCGCGGATGGACCATGGGGAAGCTACCTCAATGGAAATATTCGAGGGGGGTGTATGTGTTTGAATACATGACCAACGGAAAGCTGACTGATGCCTGACAGCTAGCGCGGAATGCGGAGCTATGATGTCCCATCCCCTGAAGACGGCTTCCCAAGTTTTATCCTGGAGAGAGGAGAGTGTCGAGCGGCTGTGCAAGTCTGTATACTGCATAGGTGTGTACTGCGTAGTGGAATACACAGGGAGGTGAGAGCAGTGCGGTGCGGGGGGAGAGCCCCACTTGGCGCGAAACGTCATCAGTGGCGGCAAGGCCGACCAAGCCACAGTCCCATGCACGGCATTGGCCCAAAGTCGAGCCTGCCGTCGTGAGCACGCAGCACCGTTGGACATTGACATACAACAACATACGTGCATACACACCCATACACCTATGCACACATACAGATCTGCCTAAACGTACCAACAACACCCCGTCCCCCTCACACACCGCTCATCCCAGACTGCCCAAATATTACCACGCCCAACAATGTCGGAAAAGGCCAACACAGAAAAAGTGAGCAGGAAGCGACATGCTGCGACGCCTCTCCCCCACTAATACAACTGCTGCAGCCTCCAGAGAGCCCAACCACGGCGCGCGAGCTTGACTTTGACGACGACAACGATGCTCCCGCTGCTTCAGCTGCCGAGCATACTGGATCACCGCCTCCTGCCTCCAAGTCGCCCAAACCTGGCGTGCGCTTCAACGAAGAGGCAACCGAGATTCCCCCCCAGAAGCCCCCCCGGCCCGTCGACCCCCAGGTGCAGGCACAGAACACGCTGATCGAGGCCTTCCCCACTGTCGACAGCAATGTCATCAAGGCCGTGCTAGTCGCCAGTGGAGGCAAAGTTGAGCCCGCCTTCAATGCACTGCTGAGTACGTTGACAGCCTAGCGATGCTCCCCCAAGAGGCCTGTGTACTGACAAGTCAGGTATGTCGGATCCCAACTTCAAGGCAGAAGAAGTGCCTCCACCACAGCCACCGCGCCCCCAGCCCCGCAGTCAGCTCGAGCAGGACGAGATATTTGCGCGGCAACTCGCCCAGCACTATGAGAGTCAGGGTGGCTCTGGCCCCCAACGGCCACGACAGCAGGGGAGCCGCCAGCGACAGGGCGAGCCTGAGCGCGAGTACAGCTTTTTCGATGGTGAGCCCCTGTATGCACCCCATGCACCCGCTGCGACGGCTAACGGTACAAACTACAGACGATCTCCCTGAGATCCGCAAGAACATTGAACAAGGCTTCAAGGAGACGCAGCAGACAGTCACTAAATGGATCAGCAATTTCACCAAGAAGCTCGACGGCGAAATGGAAGAATATGATCGGTACGGCAACCCCCAATACACGGGCCGAACCGCGCCCCCACAGCAGCGACAAAACTTTGGCCCCTCGCAGTCGGATCAGATGCACGGTATCCGCAAGTCAGCCGAGCAGCGGAGGTCGGCAGACCACAACCGTTACGACGCTGACAACCGGGTGATTGGCGACGACTTCGCCAAGCTGGAACTGCGGGACAACGACTGTAAGCCACTGTGTCTCTACATCATCGGCATCACTAACACACAGCAGTGCCCCAGCGATCCTCGAGCCGCCCTCATGCTAATCCCGACCTCTTCAAACCAACGCCTGTCTCGCCTCCCCAGAGCGGTCCTGTTGATGAGGTCGACGCTCTCTACCGCAACCCATCGCCTAGCAACCCAGGGAGCCAAGGAAAGTCAGGCGGCAAGAAGTGGCAGCCTCTGACATCTGTGGCGCCGAACCCAGAACCCGATGAGCATGATCCCTTCAGTCTTGGCGATAGCGACGATGATGAAAAGGACGCGAAGAAGCAGGACACCAATCCTGCCGATACCGAGAGGCTGAAGAATGCCGCCCAGAGCAGTGGCGAAGGCCCTCCTTCAGGAAAGCTCAAGCCTGCAGAGAGAAGTGGCAGTGTGAGCCAAAAAGACGCTACTGCAGAGGCGTTGCTCAAAGAGGCCAAATAAGGCGAGGACCTATCATCAGGCTGCCATCAGAGTGTCAAAACTCAACTTCAGTCACGTCAGTGGTAGGCGTGTTTCAATATATCCTATTTTTGACCCGTAAGCAAGGCCAAAGTAAACGCAGATGACTTTGTCTGAATGAAATCTGTCCTGTTTTCTATCTACATTATTACCTGTTGTTGTTGTTTACATGGTTTATCCTCTCACCTCTTGTCCCTCAGCCGCCACCATCCCAGTAACGTTCATACCGCCTACTTGTGTGGTGCACACGCCGCGTCTCCTGATGGAGCGAACTTGTCTCACCCTCCGCCCCTCGCTCTGAACTTCCTTGCTAGGCTCATGTCTCGGCATGGTTGTCTGAAATGCGCAAGGATATTGAAAGGAAGCACGAATTCACTTCGCAAAAGTCATTGGCCTTGTTCTCAGTACGGCATGCTTACATGCTTACTATTAAATCGCAATAAGTCGATGCATAGCAGCACATTTCCCACGTGGGGGTAGATTGATCGTGTGGGGCAGACGGCGGATTAAGACCCACCTGTGACCTGCATTTTGGCAACGGGGATCATCCCGCTACTTGCTGCGTGCATGCATGCAGCGCAGATGCAGGTCCAAGGTTGTCCAGAATGTAGGTGTTCAGCCTCAGCACCATCTAAGATTCATTTGCGTTCTCACACTTACTGCACTGCAAGTGCGATTGGTAGAGTGTTACAAACCCTTGGTATTCGTGTAACAGTGGACGCAATTGAAGTCGTTTGCGCGTCACACATGCCCCATGTCGGCTGTGGAGATGGCGCATTATTACACCACCGGATCCCGGGGACCTGGCTCTCTCTGCCCTTCTCTCAGCCCTAAGACGATCCAATGAAACATCAGCAGGCACCAGAGTCGCATCTCACATCTTATGCCTCGCAATATGAAGGTCCTCCAATGTGAATGCTCAAAATTGCTCGCATTGGCTGCGAAGTCCTAGAACCATCATACGGCCCCCTACCGGCTCAGGAATACGTCAGATCTGACCATCGAAAATTTACCCGAGTCAGCTTCAGCCACCTCAGCTCCTACAAGTCGGCAGCAAATTTTTTGTCACATGTGGTTCACGCCAAGTGTGAGCAGCCCAAAGTGACCCTTCTAGCCACGTCTTGGTTACAACTTAGCACAATGTTCGAATAAGGACAATGGTTCACCACAACACTAGGACACGGCTGTGGTCCCGTGTCTACCTTAAGCCCCTGGCATGAAGATGACAGTCATTCGTAACAGTGTGGCTCGAGAACAGTTCACCTGATAGTGTTGGCTATTCGGGAGGACAGGTATTGCCTAGAACCTTTGAGGAAGAGAAGACTCAAAATTGTCTATATATTCTGTGGTTTCGTGCGTTTCAATCGCATCACAATCATCACAACTCAATAGTTCACTACAACCTCATACACCATCACGCTTGCAATGGAGCCAATTACACCCATTCCACTCCCCAGGATCGATGAACCGGAAGAGTACAATACGAATTATGTACTCTACTGGAACCATGTCGGATTAGAGCTTAACCGTGTAACACATACAGTGGGAGGTCCTCAGACCGGACCACCCATATCTGCCAGAGCTCTAGGCATGTTGCACTTGGCAATTCACGACGCTTACTTTGCTATCAACCCTTCGGCTGACATCCTGACGTTTCTCACTCCCAATGCTGAGGATGCCGCGTACCGTCTCCCCGACCTCAATGGGGCGGATGATGCTCGTCAAGCTGTGGCTGGAGCTTCTCTCAAGATGCTCTCCTCGTTGTATATGAAGCCAGATATGCCGCCTACCAACATCTCCGACTACGCTTATGCACAGCTCGGGCTGGTTCTTGACCGATCAGCTGCGGAAGCACCAGGTGGCGTCGACCGGGCTTCAGCCAGTTTCTTATTTGGTGAGGCTGTGGCAGATGTGTTCTTTGCACTCCTCTTCCATGCACCAGGTGCATCGCAGGAAGGCTACCAACCTACACCCGGCCGCTACAGATTCAATGACGAACCTACCCACCCTGTCGTCTTAGTCCCAGTAGACCCCAACAATCCCAATGGGCCTAAGAGACCGTTCCGCCAGTACCACGCCCCATTTTATGGCAAGACTGCGAAGCGTTTCGCCACGCAGACTGACCACATCCTTGCCGATCCGCCAGGTCTACGTTCTGCTGCGGACGAGTCAGCCGAGTACGATGACTCAATCCGCGTCGCCATTGCCATGGGAGGTGCCATTGGTCTCAACTCCACCAAACGTACTCCGTACCAGACAGTACAAGGCATATTCTGGGCTTATGACGGCTCAAACCTCATCGGCACACCACCTCGCCTATATAACCAGTTAGTACGCCATATCGCCGTCACTTACAAGAAAGAAGACGACCTTGCAAACAGTGAGGTTAACAACGCGGATTTTGCGCGCCTCTTTGGCCTTGTCAACGTCGCTTGCGCCGACGCAGGCATCTTCTCCTGGAAGGAAAAATGGGAGTTTGAGTTCTGGCGTCCACTATCGGGCGTCCGTGATGACGGGCGTCCAGACCACGCAGATCCTTTCTGGCTCACACTCGGCGCGCCCGCCACAAACACAAATGACATCCCATTCAAACCGCCATTCCCCGCCTACCCGTCTGGCCACGCGACTTTTGGTGGCGCCGTGTTCCAAATGGTGCGCAGATACTACAACGGCCGTGTGGGAACATGGAACGACGACGAGCCAGACAACATTGCTATTGACATGGTAGTATCTGAGGAGCTAAACGGTCTAAGCCGTGACCTGCGCCAACCCTACGATCCCACTGCCCCAATCGAAGACCAGCCCGGTATCGTACGCACTCGCGTCGTGCGGCACTTTGACTCAGCCTGGGAACTCATGTTTGAAAACGCCATCTCGCGAATTTTCCTCGGCGTCCACTGGCGTTTCGATGCAGCTGCTGCCCGCGATATCCTCATCCCCACGACGACAAAGGATGTCTATGCCGTCGATGCCAATGGCGCGACTGTGTTCCAGAATGTGGAAGATGTCAGGTACTCGACCAAGGGTACGCGTGAGGGTTGTGAGGGCTTGTTCCCGATTGGAGGCGTGCCGTTGGGTATTGAGATTGCCGACGAGATTTTTACGAGTGGATTGAGGCCTACGCCGCCGGAGGCTCAGCCTGCGCCTCAGGAACCGCCAACTGTGCAGAAGCCAATCGACCAAGAGGTGATTTTGGGGACCCAGCAGGAGGAGGCTTTTGTGCCTGCGATGAATAAGGCTCCGTAGGCGGATTGTTGAAGAACATGCTGATGAGTAATTGCTCAATGATGGCAAACGGGGAATGAGCTTTTTTTTCTCTCTCAAGGCTCTGCTTTAATTACTTGTTGATCTTTTACTATTAATGTACTTATCTCAGTATCAATCAACTCACCATAATTCAGTACCATAGATAAACTTCATACAATAGAATGCTTTGCTTACAATGGCTACATTGGTATGTCATTACTTATCCCAACCTACATCTCATCCTCCCCGACCTTGACCACAATAGCCCCAACCCCTGGTCCCTTTGCCCAAACTCGATGCGCCTCCGGCACCTCCTCTAACCCCCACACCTTCCTAACCGGCACATTAATCTCCCCCTTGGCCAGCATCTCAAACAGCGTCTCCAACTCGGGCTTGTACGTCTTCTGATCCCTATTAATGTAGAAAAAAGACGTCCTATACGGGCAAAACGGCACCTTGCCCTTGGCCAACAACTTTGCAATTTGCAAGTTATTCCCCCGCGGCTTATCTCCATTCAGCGAATTGAGATTGCCGCCATAGCCCACCAGATGGCCCCCGTCCGAAGACAAGATGCTCCAACTCTCGTCCCACGACGCAAACCCCAGCGCATCGTACACGACGTGCGCGCCGCCCATGGCCTTGATGGCGCCCATCCACTCTTTATCCGTGTAAACAAAGGGCGTGGCACCGGCTTCCCTTACCGCAGCATGGTTGTGCGCCGCCGCGGTACCATAGACACTCGCGCCCTGCTTCTTACAAAACGTCAGCAGCGCAAACCCCACACTCCCACTGAGCCCATGTATAAAGACCCTCTTTCCCGGTGCAATCTCCGCACCACGATACGCAAGCCCGTACGCCGTGCTCCAATCCAGCACCAGCGCGACCGCCTGTTGCAAATCGACTCCTTCGGGCACTCGCACGAGATACTTCTCCGGTTGATTGCTAAACGTCGCTTGGCCATCGTACACACACAGACACGCGACCAGCGTGCCCTCTGCGTACTTTTTGGCGCGAGACCCGTTTTTGTGCACGCGCCCGATGAGCGTGTAGCCGGGGGTTAGGGGCGCTTTTTGCTGCATGGGGTAGATGCCCTGCCGCATGAGGATGTCGCCGCCGCCCATGCTGGAGTAGAGGATTTTGACTTGGACTTCGGATGAAGAGGGGGCGGGGAGCGTGGTGGTTGTGAGGGTGACGACGGAGGGGTCACCGTGGGTGGGGATGAGGACTTTGCGGATGGGGAGGGCCATTTTTTTTGGGTGGAGGTTTGGTGGTGAATGTAGAGATAGGGCTTGTGTTTTTGTGCTGGTTAGAGATGGGTTCGATATTAAGATGGAAAAATGGCTTTGGAGTAGCTGGACTCCAATACTGGCGGTTGTTGATGTGATGGAATGCCATTGTAGCCCTTCCCTTCACTCTTTCTTTATAGTTCTCGAGCACATTTTTTTTTGGTTTGGAGGCCTGATTCATTTCGTGGAGGCGAAGTGTGAGATGAGCTATAGAGAAGGCATCAGCTGCGGGGTGGAAGTCCGCAGGTCCTCATGTAGCTCAAAAGCCATCTGGATACCTGTGGCACGCAAACGAGTGCATCTTCTTGGATGGACTTAGTAACCGACTTGTGAAGTCTGATGGGTATTTACCGCTTTGATCGCTAGTGCGTGCTTACCCCTCCTGTTGCGTTGAGCTTTGTCAGTTGTCTGAGCCACGCCATGACGCCTCATGGGGTTCGATATGGGTATGTCATTGGACGGATTGCGATGCTTACATCGGCCCAAAAGGGCAATTTTTGCTACCCGATGTTCATCCCGTGATGGCTGTGGTGTTTCAAGATAGCATGGGGTTTCTTCTGGTAAGTTTTGCATTCTGCACCAGTCACCGTTGTCGACTTTGATCTAAAGAGTGAGCTATTTTCCAGTACAGCGGTACCCTATCTCTTCCTTTGATCAGCCCAAACTTCGCCTCGACGACCTAGTACGATGACTGCATCGCAGATCTACATCATGTCAGCTGCCCATCAAGCATCAATGTCAAGACGGGGTATTGGTATCAACAGGCGCCACGACAGTCTTCTTCACCATGCCAAGATTTTAACCTTTGTGACAAATGTGGCAGCGAGTTGCTTCTCAACAGGCCTACAGGTCCAATCAGTTGTCAGACAGAGTCTCAGATCCTTTTCTACTATGGGTACGAGGAACTCTTCTCATCTGACTGGCCAATACATGTCGCGATTGAGTTTACAAATCTCTTTCCTGAAACCCACATGGTGTGTTAGGCATAAGGAAAGAATACCAACAGGGCTCTACGAGTCCCGAACATTAGATCGACAGTCTTGGTTAGAATTTTCGCGCATCGCCGTTTTTATGCAGGGACCAGGTGGGTCTGAAATGGTGGGGAAGGGTAGTGACAAGGTGGAGTACTGTAGAGCCCAAAATTTCCTCGCGCATCTGTGCCATAAGGCGACGCACCATGCGCAATGAGAAGCTTAAGAGCTCAACCAGTGTAGTACTCTGAATCATTCAAAGAGAAAACACATGGTTGCTGGGTGGTTGATATATCATGATGTGGAAGCGTACGAGATCTTTGCGTGTTGCTGGCCCTACGGCCAAACCTCGCAGCTATAGACCAATGGCCTCGGTGTGTTGGAGAAAATCGGAAGAGGCTTCGCCACTGATCGGTTATCGTTGATACGAGAAGTACGAGAAGGGGAGCATTTGAGCAATTATGCGCCAACCACAGCCAACGTCTCGAACAGGGTCCGCAAATCCCCGCATCATCAATGGTCTGGACATTTGCTTCAAAACCCGACATTGTTGCGGGATGCTGAATGACGTCTGCCTTTGTCTTTGTGCCTGCTATTTTTGCCTGGGTCCCTTATCTCTTGCAACTCGACACGGTTGAGATACTCAAAGTTGCTTAGCCCGCCATGTCAGGGAGGAATGCAGGCCGGGCCTTTGCCGGATCCCAAGTGGTATGATGTCATTGGGCAAGGCATTGCAACACCAGGCGCAATGAGTTGTGTATACCCAGCAGAAGCAGAATCGGTCGGTTTGTTGTCTCAAAGATAAGAAGAGTGCAAACTCACTCTTTGCTGTTGTCACCACCGACGCGCGTGCCTAGTACAGTTGTCGGGCTGCGCAAGACAAGGAATCCCAGGCCAGTTTGACAGCAACCCCCATTGCGGCGTCCAGGCTGCGCAAATGTCTAATTTTGGGATGCATAAGCCGAGTGCTGGCGCCTCCACGTTCTGGCAAGACTGGCGTCTATCAACTCAGCCAGATGTTGGCCCTATGCCACGTCGATGAAGGCACGTGACCAGCTTCATCCTTGCTCGTGTGGCTTCACCGCCCGGCGATAAACAGGGCGCCAGGGCATAATAGGAGTGTTGGCGAACGATCAGCTTAAGAGTCACAACTGGCACGTTTTGGAATTCAAATATCCCGAGGGCGCAGCCATTTACTGGTCATTTGCAGGATACAACCACCCCCTTCACACACTACATTTTCCAAGCTCGCTAGTCTACTCTACTTGGACACCGGCCACTCGACTGCAGAACAACGCCATTGACCCCTGCAGATTCTACCTTGGCTGGCGACAGCGAAGCGCACCGGATACCCGCATTACGTCATCGGCGACAGTTGAACACGCCGGGCCCAGAAAAGCTCAGCAATGTGTTACCACAACTACAGCCAGCACAATGGCTGCGGCCACATTGGAGAGTCACATGAGCATCCGTGGACACTATGTGACCACGCCATCCAGCGGCTGAACAACCTCCGCGGGCCGGGCTCTCCACCAGTCTCTCCACCAGCCACAGCGCCGCCCAAGCGCACTTCGTCAACACGACGTTTCTTTTCGCTGAGCGGCCAGCTCTCGCGCTCGAATACCAGTGCGTCGACCAGCTCCTGGCGGTCGGGCGCATCTGCGCCAAGGACCTCGGTTTCCAGCTCCGGCTCCTACACCTATACCGTCGAGCTAGACTACTCCACCCTGCCCGACCACCAACTCGCAGCTGTGAGATGCGCCGACCCAACACGCCGCACCTATGTCAGCAGAGGCATGGTTGTCTGCAAGGAGTGCGCCCGCTGGATCGAGGCCATGCGCAGCATGATTCAGTTTTACGACAAAAAGGGCAGTGTCCGGGGGACGGCGGCGTTTGAAAAGTTCCTCAGGTGGGAGGGCGAGGGCGGCGGCGAACGAGAAGGCGACCTCACCGTTCCGCTTGACGACGGCGACGATGGAGCTGTCTACGGCGCCAGACAGGCAATTATCCTGGGTCACCCGGAGAGTGCCATGAACGCTGAGGGGCCAAGGGGCCTAGGCACGCTGGAACGAGAGATGGAAAGTCGATATCGATATTGAAGAGAGTTCTGCTCTAACTGCAAAAGAAGTGCAAGTAGCCTGTGACTGAGGCATGCTGGGGCCATGTAATTCTGTCGTGAGCTCTTTCTCTTTTCGCCTGCGGTTATATGTAACTAGGTAGACAATCCTCACATCACACTCCGCATAACTGGTCCGGAAGGCTGGGCCCGCTCCTTGCGCTAATGATGGACGCAAGGATTAAGAAAGCAAGGACAGGTTGTCTGACAAGAAGGTCGGCATATGATGCGCCCATGATTGTCTATTGCCTGCAAGCAGATCTTTTCCATTAAAACCTTTTACTTTGACCGCGTTCTGATGCCGTGCGTCGGTCTCGCTTGAAGCAGGAACCCTTTTTTTTCGCCAAAACAAAGAAATTTCACATGTTGAAAATCATAGCACTTGATCTAGGATAGTTACAAAATACCATTACTAGCGTAGCAAAGAAGAGGAAAATGCATCACACCACAAATCTCTCTTCCATACTAGCCCAAGGTGATCGCCCAGATCCTGCAAACCAAATACATCGTGTGTACCCGCTCCACCCTTCCACTGTCCTTGGGCCCTTCCATCCTAGCATCGCCCTCGATTCGCCAGCCAAAATTCCCCACCATCTAGTAATGAATTACTCATCGCCCGCACTTGTTGCCATCAAACCCTCTTTTTAATTCCGTAAATTGTTTTCCTGCCTAGTGACTCCTTTACCCAGTCCCCCGGGCCAAAAGCATTACTCACATGGCGGCATATCGCCACCTCCCGCGCCCCCCCCCCCTCTCCGTTTCCCCTCCTATTCCTAATCCTATGAAGCGGGCAGTCGCGTAAGTAGTTAGTGTCTTCTTACTCATGGTCTCTCTGGTCCTTTTGTTGCACCGGTTTGCTTCGCCGACATGGAACCTATTTTCTACACTTGTCGTTGCTGAGTTACTGGAAAAGGAAGGTTATGGAGATTGAAACCACGGGAAGGATGGTGTAACGCAACTTTGTAGGGGGGTTGAAGTACGGAAAGCGACATGAGTGGCTCGGAGGTGAAGTCTACAGTATTCGATGGATGAACGAAAGATTACTTTGTTGGGAATTGAACCAGGGTTTTGATCGCGATCGTATGGCTAGTGTGTTACACAGTTGTGCATTGTGATATTCGAGGCTTTTTGGCCCGCTTCAATGACTCCTTGGCTGTGAGATTTGAATATTGGGGCGGGATTACAGTCATGGGGAACAGCAGTCAGGCTCCCAGCTTTGGAGGGTAGTTCGGCCCCCCCCTTGCTTTTTTGAGTTCTAATATTGTCCGGACTTCTGATTTTCCAACCAAGAGACTTGCATATTCAGGTTCTCTCACACAAGCACTCCTACACTGCTTCCACGCCAAGACCGTCTTGGCATTCTCAAACATTACTACGGATATAACGTGTGCTAATGGAAATAACCCAAATGAGCTTGTTGTATGTGGAAAGCAGGTACAATAGCTGTTTTCCAAGCATCTCCGAGGATATCTCTGTCCCGACTCTCTGTGTCGCCACTCCTATGATTACATAACACATCATCTTTCGTTAGACCAATCAATCGCCTTCTCGCATCCACATCTCGAGACGAGTTTCTCAAAACGGCAAAGACACAACGGGCGATGATCAGTTTCGCAACACGAGTGTCGCTCGAAACTTGCCTTTAATCCATATTTTTCTCCTCGAATTGCCTAAACTAGTAATTTGTGTTCAGCGAGCTGTTGTTCTCCACGGCCCTAACCTAAATTTGTATGTTTCCTTGCTGGAAAACCATGTTCACAACCACTCATTCTAGTGGCGAGGCTGACACTGAAACGGAAGGGGAACGTGATTTAGAACGGAAATCAAACTTACTGGTTCGGAGTTGTGGTCTGCAGTGATCCATGCAATTTGGACATAGTTGCCCAAAGTTGACATGGTCTGGGTAACATCACGCCACGTATAGAGAAACACTGCTCGTCAAGTCGTGGTATTGGCTCGGGCTTGTGTCCGCAGATTTCAACAGTGATTTTTGAAGATACCTGATTGAGGTGCTTGATGGATCGTGGTCTTTGAGACAAGACTACTTTTCTGGGTTCCGCGGTGCGAGGTTGGCGGTCCGGGGATGATGCGATATCCGTTGACTCGACGTGCGGAGGATGTTCATCCGGCGTTTCGACATGCACACGAAGTCAAGGCTTCGGCTGTTGAAGATACGGGGGGGTTGACGCCGAAGAAGATGGACTCACGTAGCTCGGGCGGGAGCAGTGATGCTGGACTACAAAAAGATGTTGCAACGGAGAAGAAGACTGGAAAGGGGTTTAGGAACTGGATCAGGGAGTTTCTGCTGGCTGCAAATGTGCATGATGCGGTGAGTATGGGGTTCCCGAAGATGGATGCTTAGATGTTGGTGGGATGAGTTGGGTAAAGAAAGAGCAGAACAGATTATACACATGTATGCGGGGATATAATGGCTATGAAGAAGCAGGTTTGGGATACACGCTGGGTTGAATTTAATGCGGCTGGGTAGAGCTCATGTCTCTCGATTTTCCTATCATGTTATTGTGCCAGTTCACAGGGTCGCTGGTGACCCTTGTGCTGACAGTACGATGCGACTTATGGAGTACAAGATAGGGACTTCTCATTTACAGTAGATTATCAGGCAATCCTTCACGTTTTGAACCTATCTGTGTCTCCTATACTCCACCCTCCTAATCCTTTTGTCGTGACAGTGCAAGTATCCACAGGAAAGACAACCATGCCCTTGTTCACCATATCGCTTGACTTTTCTCTCTCTGTTTGCTATACTATAGCGTATCAGATCAGTTATCTCAGAATATAATAGCGAGCCACAACCTAACCTGCTAGAGTCGGATATTAAAAAAATCGACTTTGCAGTCAAAGTACACAGTAAAAGGATTTGGGTGGACCTCTGCAAGGGTATATGCCAATTAGACAAATCTCTATTGGGTACGATAACCAAAACGCGTTTACGGCGAAGGCAGCAGCACAGCGAACTGCGATAGAACCACTATATAGTCAATGCAACAATCATATAGTGTGTATGTGTGTATTCGAATTTTAGTCCTATCCAAAGCTTCCCATGAGACATACAGACGGATGAAAGCTTCTTCGGCACCAAAACTTGGAAACTCTTTACTGCCGTCTCGAAAATCTCAGAGTAACTTTTGAATTTTAGAGGGTGAGAGATTCGAACACTGGATCTTGCGAATTCCTAGGCATTGTGGAGTTCCTCCTATACTGCGAGAGAATACCCATACCCATACTGCGAGAGAATGCCGATACTGGCGAGTCGATACCAATACTCCGCGCGGATACCAATAAGGCAAGTCGATACCAATACTCCGCGCGGATACCAATAAGACGAGTCGATACCAATACTCCGCGCGGATACCAATAAGNAGTCGATACCAATACTCCGCGCGGATACCAATAAGACGAGTCGATACCAATACTCCGCGCGGATACCAATAAGGCAAGTCGATATCAATACTCCGCCCGAAAACCCATACTGTGACAGAATACCCATAATGTGACAGAATACCAATAATGTGAGTGAATACCAATAATATGAGTGAAAACCACTGCAACTCAAAGAATACCATGCCCCTTCATGTCCCGACCCATTACAACGGCTTTTCGAATGTCTCCCTCAGCCTCTCGTATCTCTCGATGTCTCTCACACTAGGCTGCACTAACTTTGCTGCCTCGATCATGTCTAGCTCCTCAACACACTCAGCTCCTCGCTTGAAGGCATGCTGACCTGCTCTTCGCAACAAACTCTCCAGATCAGCACCAGAAAAGTTGTTGCACATGTCACGGCTTCCTATCTCAGCCAGATCGGGATTTATGACTCCGCGCTTACGAATGAGAGACCGAAGGATGTTGACACGTTCGCTCGGCTGGGGGGGAGGAACGTAAAGGAGGGTCTCTAGGCGGCCTGGACGTAACAAGGCTTGGTCAATCATCTCAGGACGGTTAGTCGCAGCGATCAGATAGATACCATCTCGTGCGGCAAGGCCATCGAGTTCCGTTAGGAGTGTGTTGACGACTCGGGCGGAGGCTTCGTGGAGCTCTGTAGAGCGCTTGGGCGTAATTGCATCAAACTCGTCGAAGAAGATGATACATGGAACAGAAGAGCGAGCGCGCTCGAAAAGTTGCCGGATGGCGCGTTCTGATTCTCCGAGATACTGTGCACAGAAAGTCAGTAAAATGCAATATAAAAGTAGAGTATTCGCTACAGTATCCGCCCAACAGAGTCTCGCAGAGGTCCACCCAAAATCCTTTTACTGTGTACTTTGACTGCAAAGTTGATTTTTTTGATACCCGACTCCGGCAGGTTAAGGTGTGGCCCGCTATTCTTTTCTGAGATAATTGATCTGATACGCTATATAGCAAATAGAGAGAAAAAAAGTCAAGCGATTCGTCCGAAGGAAAATTCCGCCGAGTCTGTGCACTCACCTTATTCGTTAGCTCGGGTCCTCTGACGCTGATGAAGTTTGCCTTGGACTCAGCAGCTGCAGCCTTTGCGATGAGTGTCTTGCCACAACCCGGTGGACCCCATAGCAGGACCCCAGCAGGTGCTGTAATGCCGACTCGAGCAAACCTTTCAGGATCTTCGATTGGTGCGCAGATGGCCATCTTGAGCTCTTCTCGAATACCCTCTAGCGCACCCACATCACTCCATGTAATGTCTGGTACTGTTGCGAAGCCTTCTCGCCTAGACGAAGGCGTGATTGATGGTAGAACAGCTTTGAAGGCCGCCATGTCGATGAATGGATGTTCGAAGCCTTCGGGACGTGGAGCCTCTTTGTCTTTTACTCGTTGAATGAGAAGCCGGATAGATCGGTTCACGGTGGCCTCCTCGCTCTGGGGGACATTGTTGTCAATATCCATGATGCCTTCCATGGCGCTTGTCTGCTGTTCGAGTGCTCTACGATACTGAGCCATTGAGAAAGTTCCCGCTTTGCTGACAAGGTCTTTCAAGTCTGCACCAACAAAGCCAGCGGTGCGCTTTGCCAAAAAGTGGAGATCAACATCTGGTGATAGCTTCGTTTCCCTTGTGAGAGCCGTGAGAATTGACTTGCGTACGGATTCGCTTGGCACACCCATGTTGATTTCCGTGTCAAAGCGCCCTCCTCGTCGAAGTGCCGGGTCAAGATCGTCTGGGCGGTTTGTCGCTGCTAGCACAATGACCGGTTTGCCATCATTGCCCTCCATAGCCAGACTATCCATAGAGATGAGGAGTTGAGCTACTATTCTCTTGTCCATTTGGCTCTGCGCATTGTCACGTTTCGGCGCGATCACATCGATCTCATCAATGAAGAGCAGGCATGGCGCAACCTCTCTGGCCCTGTCGAAATGTTCGCGGATTTGTTTCTCTGACTCTCCAGAAATGCCAGATACGATAGAAGGGCCGAGGATTTCGACGAATGGTACGCCGAGCTCGGCAGCGAATGCTTTGCTGATGAGTGTTTTGCCGCATCCTGGTGGGCCGTGAAGGAGGATGCCGCGAGGAATGGGGATCTTCCGACTGGTGTACTCTTGCGGATCCAGCAAGGGCAGGACCAAATGGTCTTTGAGCTGCTCCTTGACATCGTCAACACCCCCCAAATCTTGCAGGCTCACATCGGTAGGCCCAGCAATCCTAATTGAGCTCTCTCGGGTTGAAGTGCGTTTCTGCCTTTTGCTGTCGCGGTCGTCTTTCGGTCTCTCTCCCTCTCGCTTGCTGCTCTTGTCGTTGGAAGTAGCCAGGGATGTTGTCCATCCAGCAACAATTTGACGGTTCATGAAATCACCTGAAACATCTCGAGCCTCTTCCATGATAGAGTTTCCCCTCAGCTCCACATTGTCTTCTTCGTCGTCTCTAGACTCGTCTTCCTGGATGGCGTCTATCGCACGATCAATCAAGTCTTCGAGTTGTCTCTTTGACCGCCTTTTCAGGTTGGAGTTTTGCCTTTGGATGTATTGGTAGATTATAGAGGTTCGTAATTCCGAGGGTGAAATTCCTTTGTCGCTCAAGTACTTCTCGACCACTTTGCGGACTTCGGCTTCCAAGCGGTCTTCTAAAGTTGGCCGACCTGTGGGAGCCATGTCGTAAGAGGAGATCTGTGTGACTTACTAATTTGAGTATGCAGTCGTGGTGAAAGCGATGTTGAATAATAAATGTGCAAGGGTGAAGGCAAAAGGCGCTGGAAGCTCATAAAATAGTTGACGGTTGCTATCGATAAACATTGGCGCTAGCCCTCTTTCCGCCGCAGAGTGAGCCCAGGAAACCTCTCTAGTCACCGTTACCGTAGAAGGAAATAGAGTCATAGGCGCTTACCCCAATAGATGTTTCTGCATAATCACCCAGCCATAGACTCAGTCTTTGGGATGCCCTTACCACGGATTCATGTATGCAAAGCAATCGCTCTAAGTCGCTTCCTTCTCTATCTTGTGGTGTTCTGACGGTATTGGGCTAGATTGGATTAGCGTATCGTGTTTCAGGCTTAGTGAATCGCCATGGTATCGCGCTAACGGCCCATGGTCGGGCGACCTGCCGGCACCTACCAAGGCATGGAGACCCGACTGCGAGGTCGCATGCGCACCTCCCAACGCTCATGGAGACGTCGACAACATGGGTAATTCAAATAGCGCTAACAAGATCTCTGCCCAGGACAAGTGAGTCACTCTTGGGTGTGTCATAGTCGATGCTGATAAGACAGAGCAATCCTGGACATGAAGAACCAGCGGGACAAGCTGCGACAGTACCAGAAGCGCATCACTGTCCTTACCGATCGTGAGAAGGAGATCGCAAAGCAGTGTCTGGCTAAGGGCGACACGAAGAGCGCAAAGCTAGCGCTGAGAAGGAAGAAGTATCAAGAGTCGCTGTTATCCAAGACAGACTCGCAGCTGGCACAACTTGAAGTCCTTACGAGCGATATCGAGTTCGCACTTGTGCAGAAAGATATCTTGTACGGGTTGCAACAGGGAACAGCTGTGCTGAAGGAAATCCACAAAGAAATGGGCGGCATAGAGAACGTCGAGAAGCTTCTTGGGGAGAACGAAGAGGCTCGGGCGTACCAGGAGGTAATCTTGCCCAGTTGTCTCACCTAGTACCTCCATACTGATGCGCGCGCAACAGGAGATTAGCGAAATGCTTGCGAACAAAATGTCCAACCAAGACGAGGATGAGGTCGAAGACGAACTCGAAGCCCTCGAAGCGGAGGTTAACAGCACCAAGTTGGTTCTGCCTGACGCGCCTGAGGCACAACCGCAATTCACACCAGAGGAAAAGGCGCAGATGGCAAAGGACCGGGCGGCAAGGAGGGCGAAAGAACGGGCTGCTGAGCAGGCTTCGCAACCCATGTTGGCTTGATCAAGTATACGATGACGTAGGCATGGCATTAGAGCGCGGCGTTTGGGTGTTTTGAGCATCATCATATGGAGGATTCGGCGACACTACAGGTCTAACGACATTACTATATGCAAGTGTCTACTCAAAGACAAACCTATAGGTTAGTGGATGCGTTTACCACGTGCATAGAACCTTCGCGACAAGGCACGTTTATGAAGATATCTTTTCCTTAGATGCGTTGCTATTTCCTTTCCCCGCACACCTCTCTTGGCGATCTATAGGAAAGACCAGGTTATATGAATAGTGCCTCTGCCTGTGTCCATCTTCCCTTCCCAGTCTTCGTCGCATCTGTGCCAGCGACCAAAGCTTCGTCCAAGCTACCCCGCCCCCACCATCCACACCAGACCCGCATACATACAAACATCCACCAACGCGCATCCAAACATGTCGCACTCGCATACGCACTGCCACGACGAACACCACGATCACTCGCACGGTGATGGCCATGATCACAGCGATGACATCACGCCCGCCCTACAAAACATCCTCTACGAACAAATCGACTTCCCCAAGCTAGTCACTCTCAACGAAGATGAATCCAACAGCGGCCGCGCCATCTGCCAGAAAACATGGGCCCAACGTCTAGACCCAGAACCAGAGCTCAAATCCAGCGCCGACGAGCAACTCCTCATGACCGTCCCCTTCACGGGCCAAGTGCGCCTGCATAGCATCATCCTGCGCACCAGCCCAAGCGGCTCATGTCCCAAAACCCTCAAAGTCTTCATCAACGAAGACGCCCTCGACTTTGAGACTGCCAGCGAGAAAGAACCCACCCAAGTGCTTGAAGTCAGCCAGACAAGCGAAGTCCAAGAGATTCCAGTCAAACGCGCAAAGTTTGGCACCACGAGGTGTCTGGCGCTGTTTTTCGAGGACAACTGGGGTGGCGAGGATGAGACGCAGATTAGCTATTTGGCGTTTAAGGGCGATTACATGAAGTTGAATAAGGAAGCGGTTAGTGTCATGTATGAGGCTGCGGCGAATCCAAGTGATCATAAGAATATTGTGGGTATTGGACAGGGCGTGGGGAGGAGTATTCAGTAAGTTGAGGTGGGTGATGGGCAATGCAGTCAGCATACGGGCAAGGGAGTTGAAGGTTTGTCAAAGGATACCATCATGTAGCATACATATCCTCGGGAACATGTCGCTCACTACACAGCATGCTCACACATCCGAACAGAAAGTGACATACTCGGCGTTTTCCTTGTCGCTATTTCTCGTGGGTATCATACCATCATAGAATCCAAAATACAGAAAGATTCCAAACCTTCTTTTGCGCACTTTAGCAGTTGTAACCATGCTTGTGCCATTTCCCCTTCCCGCACTGGACATTTCTTTGCCTCGATTATCCTAGGATCCCTAAATCTCTGCCTTCTCTCTTTCCATGCCAACCGCATCACGTATGTTTCGTACTTCCTAGCACCTCGCCATGCACTTTACTCCAATCAATCTTGCTGTCAATCTCCTCATCCACACGTCCTACAACTGCTACGCTATCGCCGCGGATGATGTAAAGACCCAAGGGAACTTCTTCGCTGGGTATCTCCTCTTCGACTGGTCGAATAATGCGCTCAGTGGCTTCTTGGAGGACGAGGTTCATGCTGCCGTCGCAGGAGTGCAGAAGGCCGACCATTGTGCGTCCATCGACTGTGAGGACGGATACGCGCTCTGGAATAGAGTGTCAGTTTGTCTGCGCAGAATGAAGGGAGAGACATCAAATCAAAGGCTATCTTGATTTGGGAACAAAAGAACAGGGAACATACTGTTTAGGTAGGCGTTCAGTGCCATTATGAAGAAAGAAGATCAGTTGAGGTTTAGAGATATCCGAAGCTGATATAGGGCGAGCGAACAGACTATTGCTCCCGTGTTGTCGATTCCAGACGAAGTTTGTCGCCTGATCTCTCCTTATTCGGCGCAAGAAAGCTCCACGTGAGGATCCGCAATCGCGTTGTCGAGCCGCTACTGAAAACGTCGAGCTGAAGCGAGTGGTCTGGCGGTCGGAATGCGCTGATATCCAAGTCGAATATCCGCCAGAGATACGGTTGAGGAAGCTGAATGCGCTCAAGTTTTTCCAGGGGGTTTGTAAGGAAAAGGAGCGTATGGGCGTTGTCGGCCTTGCTGGAGACAGACAATGTACAAGCAGCTCACGATGGAAGCTCGACTTTGGAGGAGTCCGTGCGCTTGGCCAATCAGCGTCCACTTCCTCCGCATGACTGGCGGCTTCACGAGGGAGTGGAACATCCTTGTGCAACTCCACCTACTGGTAACTGCAAATTTGGTTGCATATGATGTTTGTGGAATGAATAAGACTCTGGGCTCGTAACTGAAATAGGCCATTCTGATGTTACGTTCCATTTTGAACTTTTCACTTCTGCATGCCGTTAAGTCTCTAAACTCACCTGCAAGACATACGTCGCGCAAGATTTCGCACCACCTCGTCGGTCTGGCGAACATCGAGCGAACAAACGAGTGTCACGGAAAGGAAAGCTGGCACAATAATTTTAGAGAGAAAGTGGAGAAAATTCTGAAATCAGAGATCGAATGTGAGCTTTGTCAAGGACAGCGCTGCTTACTTGACTTTTTCCGTGGAAACTTTCTTCACAACATCCATATCGGGCAAAGGCTGTTTCAAAAGTCACGGAAGTTGAACCTACCAAGTAGTTCTACCCAGAAACGTCAATGCGCACTTCTATACGGATATTGAACGGCAACTGATGGTCTGGCCATCCAATTCACCAAGTTGTCAGCAGGGCTCGTTGCTAACCAAGCATCATCTATGTACGTAACGAGTGTTCGTTGAACAAAGAGGCAGATCTGGCTATACTGTGATTACGCTATGCTCCACATAGTACTTTGAACGTCTCCCTTCTCTCGGAACTGGCTATTGCTTGGACTAACTTGACACAGATGCGAGTAAAATAATTAGAAGCCTTACGTAATGTTCAGCGAATAATTCAAATCCGTATCGTTAGAATTTCTAGCATCTAAGGGATATATCGAGTTTGCAAAAACCTTAATGACTCTGGCGGAAAGTCTTCTTAAAGAGGTGCAACAAATCAGGCTGTCGTCATGTCCTAGCTAATAATGCATGGCGGAAAATTAAAACCCCACCCTGAGACAGAAGAAGAAGCTGGTCTGGCTGGCTTCATTCAATGGCTTAGCGATCTGAAAGCTGGGAACGTGGGTGGCTGGGAGCTGGTTTAACGTGTTGCAAAGACGATTGAGGAAACTCGATGCGATTAGCAGTTGTTTCGTTGTCTTCATACGACTTTTTCAGCTTACATGTAAACACTATCCTATGCGTAAAAGGCGACACGAGATCCCAGAAAAACTCTAATACAGAGAGCATCAATAAATAATACCCATTTGGCTAGATATCTTCTGCAAAGCTCTAGAAATTCCTGTGAAAGCGCTCACGTAAGATTGATCATGTTGAGACTTTTTCAACATGGGCAATGATGGCTTGAAACTATCTAAATGTTGTTTCTATATAGTAATCGAATGACAGCCATCTAGCTTAGTTATTGGGAAATGTATTGGACCGGTTAAACTCGCCTAAAGCTACCCTTACGGTACCAAATGGTTATTTAACTGCAACATTTTCCTATTTGGCGACATTTCTCGCTAAAGTATGTAGGATGAATGACTAATTAACTGTTTCAGGTACGAGAACCACCCTGCTTTTTACCTTTCCGTGATGTAGATCTTCTAGTGCCTGAGGAAGTTCATCCATGCCTCTAGTCACAACTTGTGGTTTAACAATCTCCTTTGCGACGAGTTCCAGAGCAGCCTCGAGACTTGCGTACGATCCTCCAAAGGTAAAAAGAACGTTGATTGCTTTTATTATTGCGGGACGCGAATCGAATGACAGATTGGGGTTTATAAGACCAACCACGACCACAGTTCCCCCTATCCTCACTATCATGTTGATGTCAGCCTCGATGTATCACAGCGATATAGTGTTCGAATCAAGAATGCTTAGACAAACTCACCAGAGTCAATAGCCGCTTTAAATGTATCTGATACACCAACAAAGTCCACGGTCTTGTCGATGACTAGCCTGTTCTTTGTGACGAATTCAGCGGCATTGGTTCCGGGCGGAACCACATCTTCGGTCTTGACGCCAAACTTAACAGCCTCATCGATTACTTCCTGTCGTTTATCTGCTACAATGACCCTCGCCCCAATACCGAGTATAATCTGTAGCGCATTGAAGCCTAGGCCACCAAGTCCGAATAGCAACACAGTATCTGATTGCTCAATATTTGCTCTTTCAACAGTGGCGCCATATGCAGTCAAGACAGCGTCAGGTACAACTGCCCCGAGTACGGGACTCAGCCCAGCAGGTAGTTTGACTGCGGCTCTTTCTCGAACGGCAACATACGGGGCGAATGAGCCATCGTGTCCAATCCCGTAGCGTTCGCCAGTCTGGCAAAGTGCTTCAAGACCCCTGGTACATTCCGGGCAAGTGCCCTTTCCACATCCTGGGATTGACAAGATGGCGACTATGTCACCTAGTGCAAATTTCCTAGAGGCAGAACCAACAGAGACAACTTCACCACAACCTTCATGGCCCTGAGCATCAACGAGTTAGCGTGATTCTTCCAGACTTTGTCAGTGTGACAGTAAACCTTACATAGTAAAACGAAAAACAAGTAATTGCCTACCAGTGTATACTTTTCCAAATGATTGTGTGGCTGTGGATCCACCTCTAACAAAGCGATATCACTATGGCATACTGTTTTGCTGCTCAGTTTCAAAGTTTTCGGTTGCAAATAGTATTTAGCAGGTGGAGATAAAACGAAAATCAGAGACTTACCTCCGGCTGCATGAATTCTCACCAGCAAGCCATCCTCAGGCGCTTGAGGGACATCGACTTCAACCCGATGCTGGGTAGTTGTCAGCTTCATCTCATATGTGGGGTAAAGATAACTATATATTCCCAAGAACTATTGCACATACTGGTACAGAACTTCCAGAGTGTTTCTGCCATGCTAGCATCTTCTTGGGAATCGTGGTAGTCGCCATGATTTCAGCGTGAATTGGGAGTGGATAGTTTCGAATTGGATCAGCTGCTTGAGAAATTTGAGTATGTGTTGATGACAGTTATTAAGGTAATATGGCTTCATAAGTCACATGAATACGGGTAGTTCACTAAGTACAGTACTAACTAACTGCGCGGGGTAACATATTGCGGGGTAACGGTTCGTGGTTGTGAAACAAAAATGTGCCCGAGGTCTCTCAGTGGACCAAAATATCCGGACAAAAGCCACTAACAAGACAGCAAAACAACGGTATTTTATCACTACACGCTACTATTGCAGAAGAACATGGCTTTCTCTGATAGTGAATTTCTTTCTACATCAAGTCTCAGCACTGTAAACAAAACAGAATTTCCAAGTACTTAGTAGTACAGGCGGCTGGTTACATCACCAGAGTGGACATGAATTGGATGTGCTGACATCCATTGAGTATCTAGATGCGAAAACTCGGACCTCAGAAGTATATATTTGCAGCATGTTGCTTCCTACGTGGACAAACAGCGCTCCTCCTTCCAATCATTGACCAGTATAGGTACCCTGCTTTGGATCCTCAAAACTCTTATTATAATATCCTCACACTACGACCCATAATGCTACGCTCTAGCAAGACCAACGTTGGAAGCGGCTAAAGAGATCTTGCCGGCGCATGATATAACAACTAGGAGAGCCCGATACGAAATACCTTTCGGCAGCTTTAACTTCTCTATTCTTGACGGGCTAGAGCTTAAACCACTTGACACACCAGCAACTGATGGTTATGGAATCGTCATTTATCAGCTTTCAAGCAGAGAATATGAGCCATCATCTAGTTTCAGGTCGTCTATTTGACATATCCACGGAGGGAAATTTACATCCATGCGCGCGCACCAAGTTATACCGTCCCTCATTCCCTTTGTTTCACAGTCTAGTCTACCTTTCCTCGCGGTCGACTACCGGCGGGCTCTTGAATTTCCCTTCCAAACACCACTAGAGAATTGCTGGACAGCTCTCTTATTTCTTCAATTACAAATAAAGAGGTTAGGTATCGATGTCAACAAAATTGCAGTTTGGCGGAAAAGCGCGGGTGGAGCTTTGGCTGCCTCAATAAGTTTGGTTGCCCGTGACCGAGATTTTTTGCCACCGTTAACGAAGCAGATTTTGATATACCCTATGTTAGATGACAGAGTGGTGAAAGATCACGCCGAGGGCATAGATATCATCAAAATCAACATCAACGGTATCGTGACAGGTTAAAATGCCTATCGAGGCAAAAGCTATGGAACTGACAATGTTCCACTCTATGCTCCACCTAGTCGAGTCAGCGGTGATACCGAGCATGCAAAAACAGAAAAGCGGTTATATTGCCAATATTTTAAGTAGGGCTAGACTTGGTGGTGGAGTGTCTGGTCTGGCATACACGGCTGCCAAGCATAAGATAGTAAGCGGTAAAGAGGGAACACGGTGTAATACTATTTGCCCAGGAGGTATTACGAGGAACCCATGCCCCGGTGCGTGTGCCTGAAGCTCACAAAAGGACTAGAGGTACGAACTAATCTCGCCCACTCGATCGGAGGCAAAGTCGACTCAGAAGCCTTGTTGAATTCAGGGTTCGCATGACCACGGCCTCTGTATCTTTTTGACACTGACAATAGAACTCGACGACAGACTAGTGCTAAATGTGCAGTATGAATTAGACGACAAGGCAGATGTTGGTGAGACGGATTCACTTATGGCCAGTGGCCCTATTAGTCCGGAAGAAGTAGCAAATGTGCTGGTCTTGTTGGGTTCCGACATTAGCTCTGCGGTCAATGGCGCAGTGATTCCCGTGGACAAGGGGTGGTCTGCTGCTTGGTTAAGACGGTTTTGATGTAGCGATGAGCATTCAAAGGAAGCGTTCACGTAGCACTCGACGCAGTAGGTAGTGGAAACAGGCGTTGGCTGATACTATGCGGCGCACAAGGAATGCGCGCACCTGCAATGCAATATGCTGCGACACAATCGTATATGGCAATGCCGCGACACTACGGCGACAGAAAGGCGTTTCAATGGTGGATGGGTGCAAGTCACTGGCCATGGCGGGGGAGGAGTTTGATTGTCGGAGGTCCGTTGTGGGCCCGCCGACGCTTTCCGCAGCCGCTACGGCCCTCATCGCACTCAGCACAGCAGCCATGGGGGGATTACAAAATTTTGCGCAACCGCCACGAGAGCCGATACCGGGACGCGTGAGGAAGAGCAGTGCCAAGGTGGATATGGTGCTGTCAGAAGAAAAGAAGAATGGGGGCTGGCCGCGCATGGAGAGCGAGGACGGCATGGCTACGTTCGGCTCTGGGCAAGCCATGGAGAGAGTGCATCTCGCCGACTGTGGGGTAACAGGCATGCATACGAGCGAGGTCACGATGGTGTCTGCTGGTCGATCAAAAGCAAAAGCAAGAGCAGGAGCAAGAGCAAGAGCAAGACGAAGACGGTGCGGCTGAGGGGTCCGTCCGACGAGACTGGGCATACGTCGGCACGGCTGCCTCTGTCCTCAGGCTTCCAACGCCCGGCGTCGACGAGGACGGTACACAGCAGGCATTGCAGACGCAATCGGCACTACTCTACAAAACACCGCAATCGCAGTCGTCATTTCCAGAAGCAGCCGTTGTCTAGACAGGGCGACGCCATGATCGGGGGCTGCTAGGCGTGGCCAATGAGCCAGGGCCGATACGCCTGCGTCAGTCTGGTAGCCTCTGGAGCATCGTCGAGTTTCACTAGCGCGAGCCGACGCAAGCCGAGCATTGCCCATCGCCCTGTCCAAACAACACGCCCACGATGCACGGTATATATGCCATGCACTGCATCACCCAAGGTCACAAGACCTGTTGATCTACGCAATTCATCCGACCACTCTTCCCCGGACTCAGAAGCCCTGCCACCGCACTGACTCCGAGTGCTGTATACAAGGAGGCCGCCGGACCCGACCTTGACCACCACCCACCACCCACCATCCACTACCTACTACCCAATCAATACCCATCACAATGTCCGCCATGATGCTCCGGAGACAGAACCTCCACCACTTCCAGCGTCTTGCTCTTTCCCAGACCTCACGCTCCCTCTCACAAACACCCAGATACGTTCATCAGAGTGCACGCCAGAATGTATCTGTACCGACGTCATCGCACACATCCGACCTCCTCTCCAGCCAGCCAGAGTCCCACGTTGCTCACACAAAGCCAGTTCTTGGTCGGCTACCCACATCTACTGTTCTCCGTTCCTACCTCATCACCGCAATGTCCTCACAGCCATTGCTCCTCAATGCATGCTTTGGCCTCCTGCGTCGCATGCTCGAGTCCAAGTCGTACATCATGAGCATCGAGCGCAACCCCGTCCTCTCCAGCCTGCTCAAGAAGACTTTCTACGCTCAGTTCTGCGTCGGCGAACACAAAGATGAGGTGGTAAGGAACACCGACTTTGCCAGGACCTTGGGCTACGGCGGTATTCTGTTTGAGTACGCACTCGAGGTACTTGGCGGAGAGGCGCCTACCGCAGCCGAGACCAAAAAGGAGATTGAGGTATGGAGGAAGGGCATGCTCCAGAGTGTTGAAATGGCCAAGGAGGGTGACTTTGTTGGACTCAAGTATGTATTCCCAAACGAAAATCGTCCAAAGTAGGCGCTAACAATCTTGTAGATGGTCAGGTCTTGGCCGCCACGCTTTGCATCTCCTCCAAAACCAGCAAGATGCTACACCCGAGATGTGGGATGCCATCACAGCAGCTTGCGATGCTGCTGCGGCCAAGGGCGTCAGTCTCCTTCCTGGTGCTGAAGAAGAAGCTACCAACCGTGGCCTTGAGAAGTGGACACTTGCTCTGCAGAAGAAGTACAACACCCCCGAGCGAGGCCATGCCGTTCTCTACATCACCTACCAATGCTATCTCCGCAACATTGCCGACCGGTTGGCACAGCACCTCGAGATGGCCTCAAAGGGTGGATACATTGCCGGTGTCAAGCTCGTACGCGGCGCATACCTAACTTCGGAGCCCAAGCACCTCACCTTTGACACCAAGGCTGAGACCGATGCCAACTACGATGCCCTCGCCGATGCTGTCGTCCGCCAACAGTGGACCGACAAGGTCCCTGCACCAACTCCCGGCACACCCTTCCCCCAGGTGAACATTGTCCTGGCAACTCACAACCTGGCTTCCGTCAAAGCTGCCCAGAAGATCCGTGCCTCGCAGATGCTCACTACCTCTCCCGAGAAGCTGCCGCGCCTGACATATGCTCAACTCCAGGGTATGGCCGATGAAATCTCCCAGGCGCTGGTTCAAGACGAGACCATGAAGGCCGACAAGCAGGCCAAGGTTGTCAAGTGTATGACTTGGGGCACTACTGCAGAGTGCTTGAACTTCTTGCTCCGCAGGGCCAGCGAGAACAAGGAGGCCGCGCTCCGTACCGAGGACACTAGGCGAGCCATGGGCAAGGAGCTCTGGAGGCGCTTGAAGGGAACCTTTGGTCTCGCCTAAGTTGTGGACCTCATTTTCTTTTTTCCATTATCTGGTTTTTGTTTCTCAAAAATCATCGCTTGAAATCTTAGTTTTTACGCAGCGAAGCATAGCATTAAGCACGGCGTTTGAGGTGGGCTGAGTCCTGATCAGAGGATGGCCTTGGATCAATTTCCATTGATTTTGTTTTTTTTGTTTTGCATAGCGCGTCGGTCGACTTTTGCGTCTCCAGCTCTGAACCTTGAATCAAACATGTTCATTCATTTTTTGTCGTGTGCCTTTTGCATTGGTCATGTGAGGAGATAGTGTTCCCATCCGATGTATAGCGTGCTACTGTCATTGATACAGTGATACAGTTAGCTTTCTTGGAATATTCTTGCGGTTGCTAACACATGCAATCGATGGCAAAGATAGCCAAACTCAGAGATGTGGTATGAAGATGCTCAAAAGTAGGCCGCAGTTGTTGCTGTCTCAAAAAGGCAGCAACGAATTACCAACCCCCATGAAACCTGCATGCTCATACGATACATGCGGGCTGAATCTTAAACATGTGCTTTTGCTCGTATCTATTAGCAGGGGTGGAATTACTCAAGGCAATTAATGCGAGGTGCTGCTGAAGAAACCGTTAGCACAAGCCTGGGCAAAGCGAAGTTTCGTATGTGAGCCCATTTCCCTGCCTGTGATTACGTCAATGGCAGCTGAACAACCTCAGATCGAAGCCGGTACATCCATCCGGCACCTCTCGTACCAAACACACGATTGCAATTGTATACCAAATTCCCGTTGGGTTCCGTAACAGTTGGAGTCTACCAAACAAATAACGCACTAGTACAGTAGCTAATTGCCACTAGTAGTAGCAGAACAGTAGTAGCGAGCCAACGCAAAGATCTGACGGACCGTCCCAGCACCCTGGAAACTGACGGCGTCATCGGCCGAGGATGTCTTTCACGACCGAACGCAGTGCAACAGTCGATGCGAACACGCACTGGTGGGACCTGTCATTACATACATGCTCAATGCGCTTACACAGCGCTATAGGTAACTGAGAGGATGACACAGCCTCGCGCAGCTGAACTCACAAGGGCTTACTACTGTGCCACACCTTGGCTTTGCAGCGCATCCTACTGGCTGCATGAACAACATTCCTGGCCTGCTGTACCCCTGTAAAGTCAGCAGCTAGGCAGACAAGTCCACCAGGCCTCACCCGCCTCGGCCGAATGCACGCCAAATGCACGCCAACCATCATACATGGGTGAGGGCGAGGCTTACAAGGCAACGCGCTTGTTGCTATCAGGCTGAGTGGTATATAGGAAGCACCCTCAGCCCCCAACTTTAAAGGCACCAGCTCTCTGTACCTACAGAGGCTACAATTCTTGCAATTCAATTCATATCTTCTCCATTGTTGGGCATCCTGCAATAATGGCGTCCCAGTCGTCTGATTCTGTCCCAATACCACAGCCTCCACCACATTTGTTCATCGGAAATATTGGAGCCATTGATGCAGACGATGCCCCAGGCTCCATTCAGAGACTCTCAGAGATCTATGGCGAGATCTTTCAGCTTCATATTCCAGGCCGGCCGGGGAGGATAATAGTCGTCTCTTCGTACGACACAATAAATGACTGCTGCGACGGAGACCGCTTCGAGAAGCCAATCAATGCAACTCTCGAAGAAGTACGAGCTCTCACTGGAAATGGGCTTTTCACAGCCTACCCAGGGGAGAAGGTGAGCAAATATTTGGCCCGGTGAGATGCATGCAGCTGACCACGCCTAAGGAATGGGGAGTTGCCCATCGCCTGCTGATGCCTGTTTTTGGCCCCATGGGCATTCGCAAGATGTTCGATGACATGATGGACATTACGACACAGATGCTGCTTAGATGGGACCGATTTGGACCAGGTCACGAAATCTACTGCAGTGATGATTTCACAAGGTGAGTTGCATCAGCTGGTCGTGCGCGGGAAAGTTGCTCATCCACTGCTACCAGATTAACATTCGACATGATTGGTCTGTGCGCGTTCGGATACAGGTTCAACAACTTCTACTCTGACAAGGCACATCCCTTTGTCGAACAAATGGTCGAAGTCCTTGTTGAGTCTGGAAGGCGGGCTACTCGCACAGGCATTGAGAACAAGCTACGTGTTTTTGCCGAAGCCAACCGCCAGGAAAATGTGAGGCAGATGCATAAGCTTTGCGATGAGATCATCGAGGAACGCGTAGCACATCCACAGCCAGATGCGAGAGACCTGCTGAACCCCATGCTTGAAGGTGTAGACAAAGTGACTGGCGAGAAGATGTCAAAAGAGCTTGTGCGATACAACATGGTAACATTTTTGGTGGCAGGCCACGAAACAACGAGCGGCACTCTTGGCTTCTTGTTCTTCCACCTTCTCAAGAACCCCGACACATATCTCAGAGCCCAGCAAGAAGTTGACGAGGTCCTTGGAGATGGTCCTCTGGATATCAAACACATTCCAAAGCTGGTTTACATTAAGTTTGCCATTTATGAAGCGCTGCGTTTCCTTGGTCCTATTGGAATCAACAGCAAGCATGCCCTCCAAAAAACCAAGATTGCTGTAAGTCTTGATCTTGCTCTCAAGTAGACTCTGCATACTAAGAACTGGTAGGGCAAGTATGAAGTGGAGCCAGAGGACATCATTTTGATGAACTTGCGAGGCCTACACCACGACCCCAAGGTTTGGGGCGACGACGCCGATGTATTCCGGCCTGAACGTTTCTTGAACGGCGGCTGGGAGAGCCTACCGCCCAACTCGTGGAAAGCGTTTGGTGACGGCATGCGAGCTTGCATTGGACGCACTTTTGCCGAGCAAGAGATGATCATGACTGTGGCGCTCATTCTGCAAAACTTCCAAGTCGAATTGGCAGATCCTGGCTACCAACTACGTAAGCACATATATGTAGAAACAGTTCAACATTGGAGTATTTCTAATTTCATGTCACAGAGGTCTCGGTCACAATCACACAGAAGCCCAAGGATCTTAAGATCAAGGTACGGAGACGGCCTGGACGCACACTGGCGAGTGTGGGTGGAGTTGGCGGTGCTCCTTCATCGACGAACCCTGCCGGTGGTGATGGAAAAGCCAAGGTAGTAGGAGACGCTTCGGCAAGAGATGCAAAGCCAATTACCGTCCTCTACGGATCGAATG